CCCCAAAACCCCAAAACCCCAAAACCCCAAAACCCCAAATAAATAATAAAATGGAATCAATTTACAATCGGAAGAACTTAAGAAGATTATCGACCACTATGGCTCCTGTGCATCTGAAAGCATCTCCTGTTGATAAAGAATCTCAGGTGGAAGCTTTCGAGAAAGCCAAGAAGATATTACAGAGCCAGAAGATCTTTTTGTAATGTTTACTTAACTCTTTAGTACTCCAGTTGCGAAGCAAGGGAAATCTAGAAATCAACGCAAACAAGATGTCAACTTCGCCACGATGAATGATCATGAAGTCCAGAAGTTGTTTGCTACTGTTAAAAATGATCTTAAACAAGCTAATTATTCATTGAGTCGAGTCTTGAACTCGAACAAGCTGATAAATAATTTCAAGCCAAGAATACAGAACAGGGTTGTTGTTGAGCATCAAAGGACCTGCTTTATCAAACTCACTGTTGAAAATCAAATTGCACCTCTAAAAATAGAAGTGCTTGACAGTAAGAATCATAAACTGGGAGTTGATAGGGGTCGTCAAGATAGCCCAATATTGTATATATCAGAGTATAATAAGTATCCAGATGAAGATGATCATCAGAAGAAGTATATTTGGTAAGGTTCCCTTCACAGCGGCTCTTAATAAATTCTCAGATTGTTCACAAAAATGGCCTAAATCCTATTATTCATTCTGTGCAGCTTCTTCAGGACATGTTAGGCTAATGAGATATAGAGGAAGAAACAAGATAGAGTACCATCCAAGTGACAGGAGTCCATACTTTTTATGAAGGAATATCTTTATTTGTATCAAATCGAGTAAATTCTACAAGTTAAATTTCTATTATTGCTTCGGAAACCAAGCTTTGCACATCAGGAGAGAGAAGCGACAAGCCGCCTCTATGATCGATTTATTTTCCTCAGGAGCACAAGATATTGGAATTAAACCTGGCGGCTTACGCAATATGAAAATCATGTATGCTTATAAAAGTAAGCTCTCGGATGAATTTTTAGCTAAAATTAATGAACTTACAGAAGATAATTCGAAGCAAAAAGAATTATTTACCTTTATCCAAAACATTCGAAAGAAGAGACAAAGAGGCTCTCGGAAGCAAAGCAAGATAAGCCGTAAGTGTTTAGCTTATAATATTGTGCAGGCTCTGTTGTTTCTTTGCCTGAGATCGAGCAGCGGCATCAAATCGCGAAGGATAAGAGAACCAAGATTGACCTAATGAAGAGGAAGAAAAATCTAAGATTTCTTGAAACAAACAAGATTTTGAAACGAGAAAAGAACCTAGAATTCATTGAAAAGGCTAAAGAAACTGCCAAAAGGCAAAGAATTAAGTTTTTTATTGTACAGATTCATCTCAAAAGGCTCATCAAAACAATAGAAGTGAAGTAAATTTATCAAATAACTCTTTTAGGTGCACTGATCGTCAAATACAAAGAGACAAAGTCCAAATGATGTATAAGAGCTATTTCGTGCTCCAAATTTCATTCTCACGACATATAAAGCGTATTGGGCCTTCTCATGATCAAAGAATTCAAAGGAAAATTCTAAACTGTCTCACTTTTCTCCATAATGCTAAAAAAGGAGTACCTAAAAAGGTTCAGGAGATCTTAGCGAGGTTTTTGAGAGATACAACCATGGTGAAAGAGCTCAAGAGAAAGTCTATAATATTTGGAAGAGAGCTTTACATTGATAATAGAAAATAAAATACAATTATTTGATTATTTTAAGGGGTTTTGGGGTTTTGGGGTTTTGGGGTTTTGGGG